TTTTAGAGCTTTTGCATTTCAAAATATATTCATCTTTTTCTTTTAAGAGTTCAATTTAAAGCCATGAGGATTAAACTTCTCGCTTGTTGGTCACATTTTGTCGGTATTTAAATTGGTCTACTTTCTTTGGGGCTGCTTTATTAAAAGAATTTTTTTTTTCACAAATCCGTTTTAAAGTTTAAAAAATCTTTAGAAAAGTGTTTTTCAGAAATTAAAAAAAGTTAGTCAAATTATATTTTTCTAAAGTATAATTTTTTTTGGAAAATTTCGATTAATTTTGCTTCCTTGTGGAGGAAGCTTTGTAGTCCTTTCGTTTGTAAAAATTTTCAAAGTGGCGGAAACAAATTTTTCTCTATATAGAAACATGTTATATGAGATCCTGATCAATTGTCCGGATGTATGTGTGTGTGTGTGGATCCTTTTTTTGTTTAGAAAATAACTTTAACAGGTTTTAATGGATTTAGATAAAATTTGGTAGGCTCATTTACCATATTAATATTATAATATTATATCCCAAATTTAAGTTTATAAATGAAATAATTGTATTCCTTACATGAAAACGAATCGATTGGTATATATATAAAATTTACATTTGAGGTAAATTAAATAAATTAATGAAAGTTAAAAAATAGAAAATACACATTTTAGCTGAAAAATTTTATATTTATTTAACCTTAGAAAGCACATCTGGGGTAGAAAATTACCCCCGAAAAAATTCAAATTTCGGTATTTTTTGCAAATTTTGTGTTTTTTGTTGTGGTTTTTAAAATTTTTTGGCCATATTTTTGATCCTATCAAAAAACAAAAACGTTATCTTCTTCCTTATAAAAAACTGAAGAAAATTATATATAATAAAGTTATTTTGCCTTAAATATAAACATTCTAGCAACAAAACAATTTTGGGGTCGTTTTATACCCCAGATGTGTTTCTATGTATGAGCCAGCTATGTTGTGCTATCTAGGGTTAAATTCAAGTTTAAATATAAAATAATTGCGTTCCTTGCATTAAAACGAATCGATATAATTGTAAATAATTATAAATTATATATTATTTTTCATTAATATTTAGAAATTTCGGTTAAAATATGAATTTTTGATTTTTTAACTTCCATTAATTGTTTAAATTTAACTCAAATGTATAGGTACTCAAATGTTTATATTATTATATTATTTTTGTATGTTTATTTCAATGTTAATGCTTTCTCCACGAGGAAGCAAATTTTTTTGCTGATCATAAAGAGGAAGCAAAATGTTCATGTACCTAATGAACATCTAAATTTACAACTTATTTTATTTAGCTGTCTATCCGATTCGGAGTTAAATGAATATTTTTTGTATCCCTTTTTGAAATTTTTTAATTTTATAAATATAGCAAAATTCAGTTTTGTTGGGCTAATTTTGAAAATGTACTTAAAAAACATTATATATGATATATTTACTAAAGGGAATTTTCGATATGAGACTCGCTTCGATAATTACATATCGTATTTTACAATTTTCCCCAGGTTGCTTTGACAGTTGTAAATAATCGTAGTCTGGAAACTGTTCTTGTAGTACACAACATTGGTATATATAATACCGCGACATTTCCGGTAGCGAGCAAACATCCTTACATATATAGATATATATATAGAAATATATATAGATATATATATATATATATAGAAACAGTATTTTGGCTTTACAGATTTACCGTTTCGAGAGAAGGCGATAGCACTGTTTCAACGATGAAAGCGAATAATCTGACTTCGATAAGCGAGTTATCCGGACGAGTTATTGAGTTTGACTTTATCGAATCTCCTGAGGCTTCTAGTCTCTGGCACGTGCCGTTTAGTTTAATTTGCAATGAATTTCTACCATTCTCAATCAGATTCCCTAATGTCTTTATACACACGGAATTTCTCCATCTTAATGAATTCCCTTCATTCCTGCTAATTAAAGGGCCACAAGTCAAAGAACATTTCTTGTGTAATTTTAAATATATTCCGCTACTATTTTTCTTTTCATTTTTTTTTCTTTTTTTTTTTTTTTTTTTTTTTTTTTGAAAAAAAATTATAGAAAAGAAAATAAAAATATTAATTTCTAATATTGTGTTATTAGATTATGCTATTTTTGATTTAATATTAGCATTATATTTTAATAAAACATAATTCGACGACCCCGGTTTGATAAAATATTTATTCGAAAGCCAGTGAAATAAGATGTTAATAAAATAATAAATATTTTATTAAACATTCGGTTTTATTAGCATTTTATTTCACTGGCTTTGAAATAAACATTTTATTAGCGGGGAACGTCGAATTTTTTTAATATTTTAAGTGATAGAAAAAAAGATAAAAAGAAATTTATTTATTACAAAACTATAGTAATTTAAAACGTTTCTGTCTGACCAAAATTAACTTGTATCACTGGTATTACAATTAGATAGAATTTTAAACGTTTTGCCTGACTGAAACTTTCCTATACTACTGACAGTAAAGAATATAAAATGTTGCGTCTGACTAAATCTTGTTCGTACTACTGAATTTATAAACCAACAATAGTTGTATAAATTTTCCGACTGATTAAAATTGTCACTTTCTACTAATCCCAAATTATTGAGAATTTTATTTTGTCTGACAGTAATTGTCTTATACTACTGATAGTAAACTAGCAAGAATTTAAAAAAAATTTAGTCGGATTAAAAATTAATTTTAGTGCTGTTAATAAAATTTACAATATTTTATAAAGTTAATACTACAATTTTAAACAATTTGGACGACTAAAATTCCTATATACTACTGATTTATTAAAATTGCAAGAATATAAACTATTGCGTCTGACCAAGTATTACTGAATTCATAAACTGATAAAAGTTTATAAATTTCTTCTTATTGAAATTGTCACTTTCTATTTATCCCAAATTATTAAGAATTCTATTTTGTCTAACAGCCCAATGGGAAAAATACCATTGGCGTATTAATGGCCCAATAATGGGAGCCAGGGATGCCAATATAATTCCAATAATGGCACCCAATAATGGACCATTATTGGTAAAGTCATGGGCTGTCCACGCCGATGCCAATGATTGGCAACCATCATTGGCAAATTATTGGCAACCAATAATTAGCCAATATTAAAAATTTTAATAATAATTTAAAAAATCAATAATTTAAAAAAAAATTTATATTTTTATTATTTTTTAATAGTTATTATTATTATTATTTTATTTTTAATAATTAAATTAAAATAAAAAAATGGTCATCAAAGTATTAGTGAAACTATTTCTTCCAAAAAAAAGTTTGTCTCAAATCCAATTAATAGAAGAGACATCGGGCAGAAAAAAATTTCGACGAGAAAAAAATTTTAGATCACTGCTTATATACCAATCAAGTGGCATCTCAACTGCGAGAAACAGTGATGTTCGCCCTCCCTTTGCGGCGTTGAGTGAACTAAAGTCCAGAGCTGAGCCATCAGCGCAGCGCGGGAACATTTAAAAAATTTGATTTTATTAGATATTTTATTTTATTTTAAATATGACAAATAATTAACTTAATAAATAATTAATGTCATTAATAATTATTAATAACATAATGTCATACTTAATAATTCGTTAATTATTATAAAATAAAATATCTAATAAAATCAAATTTTTTAAATGTTCCCGCGCTGCGCTGATGGCTCAGCTCTGGACTTTAGTTCACTCAACGCCGCAAAGGGAGGGCGAACATCACTGTTTCTCGCAGTTGAGATGCCACTTGATTGGTATATAAGCAGTGATCTAAAACTTTTTTCTCGTCGAAATTTTTTTCTGCCCGATGTCTCTTCTATTAATTGGATTTGAGACAAACTTTTTTTTGGAAGAAATAGTTTCACTAATACTTTGATGACCATTTTTTTATTTTAATTTAATTATTAAAAATAAAATAATAATAATAATAACTATTAAAAAATAATAAAAATATAAATTTTTTTTTAAATTATTGATTTTTTAAATTATTATTAAAATTTTTAATATTGGCTAATTATTGGTTGCCAATAATTTGCCAATGATGGTTGCCAATCATTGGCATCGGCGTGGACAGCCCATGACTTTACCAATAATGGTCCATTATTGGGTGCCAATGGTTTTTTCATTGGCTCCCATCATTGGGCCATTAATACGCCAATGGTTACTCGTGGCAGTTTCCCATTGGGAGTAACTGTATTTTACTACTGTCAATAAAATTTACAATATTTCAAAAAGTTACTACAATTTTAAACAATTTGGACGACTAAAATTCATATATCATAATGATTAATTAAAATTGCAAAAATATAAAATATTTCGTCTGACTAAAATTTGTTTATACTACTGAATTTATAGACCGACAATAGTTTATAAATTTCGTCTGATTCAAACTTATCACAGAAAATTAAAAGGCATTAAAATAATCTGCAACGCTTATTATTTTAATCCAATTTTGTTTATTTTAATACCAAAATTGATTAAAATAAGCAAAATTGGATTAAAATAATAAGCGTTGCAGCTTATTTTAATGCCTTTTAATTTTCTGTGATTTTGTACTAATCTCAAAATATTAAGAATTTTATGTTAAATTTCTTTCAAACTGTTTTTATTATAAATTTGTTAATGATGTTTAGAGGCCTTTTACAGTTAAGATGTTTATTTATTGGTTGACATAACGTTGTTATGTAACAACGTTATGTTTAACGTTATGTTAACAACGTTATGTCAACCAATAAATAAACATCTTAACTGTAAAAGGCCTCTAAACATCATTAACAAATTAAGAATTTTATTTTAACTGACTGAAACTGTCTCTTACTACTATAATAGAATAATTTTTTTAAAAATAGTGTAAAAACTTTCAAACAATTCGAATCTAATAAATAAAAATTCTGATTCATAAATTAATTATTATAGAATAAATTTTTGTACTTAAAATATCTAAAACTATGAATGTTTGTCGTATTATTTTTTATTTCAATTCATTTGATTTGTATTTTGTTTGTCAAAGGTAAAAGGGGGAACTTGTACTTTTCATCATTCATCTCAGTGTGAAAAAAAAAAAATGCTTAAGAGTGAACGCGTCCTGAAAATTCAATCATTTTCGAGTTTGTAAAACAATGTGCGCGAAAAGCTTTGATAGTATTCGTGTTGAAACGTATGTGACGGGCACGTGACGGGAGTTTGAAAATCCATGGAATGCCAGTTGGACCTGTGGAGTTCTTGGATCCACTCGAATTGTGCGCCGGTGATTCCTTTTTCGTTTGTGTATTTTTTGTTTGCTTTTTTTTTTATCCAAAAACCTCGTCAACGATAATAATGAATAAGAGTAAAAGGGAACGACGTAATATAAAATATATTACGTCAAATTTTATTATAAACATTTTATTGTGAGAAAAACATTTTTTTTTTGGAGGGTAATGATAAAAAATGACTTTTGAGAATAAAATAAGGGGAAAATATTTTTTGGTCTTTTTTATAAATATGAAATGAGAAAAAAATGACATAATTGAAATTGAAATAAGAGATAAAGAGAAAAATGTGTTGCACGGGAGGAACTGGAGGTACAAGAATGACACGATGTGGAGTTTTTTGTGGACTTGCTGCACTGGCAGCTCTAACCACCGCCCTTTTGGGACCATCATGGCTTCACACGGAGGAACGATATTCATTGCCTCAAATGCCGAAAAATATTGCGAATCTCGTCACTGTCAAATTTAAACTTGGGCTCTTCAAAGTATGTCCAAAAATTGTCAAGCCAACAAACGTGACTTTACGTAAGTACCTTTTTTTTTTATCAAAATTACTCTTTTTCAATTTTTTTTATTTTATTTATTGATACAAACGGGACAAGTCATTTTTTAATATTAAAACTAAATGAAAAAAATTCTTTTTCAAAATAATATAGGACAACATTCGAATTTTTGCTGATATTATTTACATTCTCTTGAATATCTGAGAATTTTCATTGTATCTACAATTTGAGAATATATTCACATTTTTTTACTTCTATTCTTCGTGATTCTTGACTTAGTTTCGTTTTGTATTGTATTTTTTGAGTGTTGGTTACATTATTTCCATTTTTGTGTTGCAAACGTTTTATTTCCAAGAAATGGGGATTATGTAACATTTCAGAAATGCAGAGAGAAAAAAAAACTAAAAAATATTCTAAAATAAAAAAATTGAAAAAAGAAAGATTTTTTTTAACAAAAAAAAAATTTTGTTTCTAAAGAATAGTATATATTTCATTGTGTCAATTAAATAAGTCTAGTGATGTGAAATGAATTCAATCAAGAATTGATATATTACAAAGGTTAAATATAACATGAAGAGTAATTTTTCTCCAATTAATTTAACGAAACTTTTAACTCTTCGTTTTTTATCTCACGTGAATGATTCCTATAAGCTGTAATCAAGTGAAAAGGGCCAATTTTTTTTTTTTTTTTTTTTTACAACTGCTCAACAAGAAATCTTCACTAGGTTTGAAAAGAAGGAGCATATAAAAAAAAAGACTTGAAGAAAGTCTAGAAAATACGAAAAAGAAGAAAATAACTTCCGACTGCTACTCGGTAGCTTTTACCATTTCAACACTCGAATCCAATTTGAATGCGTTCTTGAATTATTATCTCGAAAAAATAATATAGATTTTTTTTTCTTCATAAGGGTCTGGAATTTTTTTTTTTTTTTTTTTTTTTAGAAAAAGTTGAATTGCTTTTATATTATTATTATTGAGTCTTGATCTTTCCATAGATGGAAAATAAGAGATTTTCGTAAAAGGGGATATTATAAAATACTCAGAAAAAAATAGATATATGTATAAAATTCTCTCTCTTGATGTACTAAAGACGAGTATTGATATTCCATTTGGAGTTTCTCTGTACAACCTTTTAGAAGCATGGAAAATGTCGTTGTGGAGTAAAATGCTTTTCAAACGTGAGTAAAGGAGTCATGCCAGGGAAATTCCCGCATGTACAACACATAGGGGCATGTTGTGCGGTAACTTTTCAAACTGACAGAAAAGCCACATTTACTGGTACCCGGATAACTTGAATTCTATCTATTTGTTCGATAATGTTTCCAACAAAATACAAACTTCAACTGTTTATCCACAACAAAATTAACTCTCAACAAAGCTTAACGAAATTTTCCTATATACAGCACTCAAAAACTTTCATTGTAAATTAGGACAGTGTTTCATAAGAAAAAGATCATTTTTTAACCAACAATTTATTACATTGGACAAAAATTAAGAAAAAAAATTTTTTCTACAAGTACAACTGCATCTGAGAATTTTTACGCGATAACAATTAAACATTTCGTCAAAAATGAACCAGCGATATTGTAATGCCAAAATGGCTGACCAGAAAGATTAAACTTTAAATTCACTATAGCCGAATTGGCTAAACTTTCGGCTGCTGCGGTCAAACTTATTCACAGCGTTGGATGTTTCGTTCCTTCATATTAATTATATTTCCAAATAGCTCGTTCTCGTCGTAAAATTTTTTTCCGTGTATCATTTCTTTTTTTTTTATTTAAATAAAGGAGTAGTAAACGTCAGTTTTAGTCAGCCAATGTTGAAAACTTCTTGTTATTTTAGATATCAGTAGAAACAGTAAATTTCAGTCAGACAAAATGTTTAAAAATTCTTGATTATTTTTATAATAATAGTCAGACTGAATTCTGCCTTTTTTTATTTTATTTACTAGCAACATTAAACGCGCGCAAGCGCGCCAAATTGAGTGTTTAATTGTTTGTTATAAAGAAATTAATGATTAATATTATCAATAATAATTTAATTTATTAGAATATTATTACATATTAAATGATAATAATGAAACTTAAATGTTTACAGGCCTCGGATTATACGACTTTTTCCGACTTTTTTCAAAAATACGACTTTTATCGACTTATTTTAATAAAATGCGACATTTTTTTTTACATTTGAAAAAAAAATGTAAATAAAATACATTTTTTTAGTATAAAATGTAGATCTTCTTCAGATCTTCATCAATTCAATTATTTAACAAATTTTGAACTAAAAGGATTATTAACTAAATTAATTATTTTTAATAATTTTAATTAAATACATCACAAATTCAATTATATCAAAATTATTTTTCAATTAAAATTTTTATGAAATTTAACAAATTGTTTATAATTTAAAAAAAAAAAATTTCACAATAAAATTGAATTATTTTTTAAAAATTTCAATTCAAAATAAACTAAAATTCAATTCTTACCCGAAATTTTAATTCAATATCAATTAAAAATTCAATAATTATCCAAAATTTTCAATTTAAATTTAAAATTTAATTATTTACCAAATTTTCAATTTGAAATGAAATAAAATTCAATTATTTTCTAAACTTTCTATTTAAAATTAATTATCCAAATTTTCAATCAAAAATGAACTTAAATTAAATTATTATCCAAAATTTTAATTAAAATTCAATTAGGTATTTCCCAAAAATTTTCAATTTAAAATCAAATAAAATTTCATTATTCTCAAAAATTTGAATTCAAAATTAATTGAATTTTTAATAATTTGAATTTAAAAGCATCTAAAATTTAATTATTTCTAAAATTTTCCATCGAAATTCTTTTTTTTTGAATTTTAATAATTTCAATTATAACTCTAAGGAAATTCGATTATTTTTAACTATTTTAATAATATTCTTTGAAAATTCAACTATCTGCAACCATTTTTCAATTAAAAATGATTTTAAAATTATTGTATTTTGTCCGCATTTTCTAATAAATTTTTAGTGAAATCATCTAAAATTTTAATTAAAAAACACTTAAAGTTTCAATTAATTTCAAAAATCTCAATTTTAAATCTTTGAAAATTCAATTAAATTTAAAAAATGTTTTCCAAAAATTGTTTGATAAATTATTTTTAGTTCTGTAAAATTTAATAATTGTTTGAAAATTAACAATATCTTTTGAAATTTAATTATTTCTAAAAATTTCAACTTTAACCCTTCGAAAAGTATTATTATTAAAAAAAAAATTTTATTTCAAAATCTGTAAAATATTTTTGTTAAAATAAAAAACAAATCCACTTTTTTTGGAATATAAATCGACTAAAACGAGTTTTTTGTGTCTTTAAGTTGATTCGAGGCCTGTGTTTTTATATATAATATTTAATAGGTATTCGTTGGCCCCTGGTACCTTAAAAATTAATTTTTAAAAATAAATTTTTTTCAAATTACTATCTTGTACAAAATTTCCTGGGGCATCTTTTTTCTCATCATAAATTTTTTGTATTTGTATACAATTTTTGAATCAATATACAACTTTAAAAAAAATTTCATTGGTAAACGTTGTGTACTTCAGCTTCGTGAATTGAATTTTCGAATTTGGAATTTTAAAGAAACTTATTCCGAAATTTGGAAACACAATTATACAACTTTGGCAAAAATGAGAAAAAGAATTGTTAAAATTTGACACGTCATAAGATTACTATTAAAAAAAAAACACGTGAAATCAGAAAAGGCCAACTTCAAGTTAGGACAGAAGGACAGGCCAAGCATTTTATTATTATATAATATAATTGTTGGCTTAATATTTATTGAATAAAACCAAAAGGAGATAAAAGTCTTGTAAATTTGATTATAGTAAGTAAGGTCAGTTTCAGTCAGACTTAATTTTAACATTAGTAGCACAATAGAGTTAAAATCAGACAGAATGTTTTTGAATTCTTTTATTTTTGACTTCAGTAGTAAAGGTCAGTTACAGTTAGACTAAAAACCGTATTTTCTTTTAAACTTTAGTATAAGTAATAAAAAGATTATTATAAAATAAAATAATGTTACAAAAAAAAAATCTCAAAAGTTCCTCACCAAAATTCAAAAGATCAACTGTGATATTCTAATATAATAAAAAAGTAGAATATAATAAAAAAGTAGAAAATAATAAAAAAGTAGAAAATAATATTGTTTCTTTCTAATCCATTTAATCTAATAAAGCCCTTACATCTGTAAAACCTTGGCCACAGTGGTGTGACAACTGGACCATTTCGATCTTAAAGAAAGTGGAAAGAGGTTCCTCGTAAAGTTGCGCTTCTCAACCTTTACCCGGAATCCTGTGGGATCTCTCTTGTTCGGTCTCGAAACAACGAAACGCGTCTTGGATTCTGCAGTCTTTCTTCTCTTTCTCTCTCTCTCCGTCTCTTTCTTTCCTACCTTCATTTTTTGTGTCCTCATTCGAGAATGTAGAAGACTTTACCCAAGAATGAAACGGAAAAGTCGTTGTATGTTGTTTCTAGATAAAAGCGGAAACAGAAATGCAGAAAAACGAAAAGAGAGAGAGAGAGAGAAATTCGAAAGTTGGGTTAACCTATCTGAAAATGTTCCCTTTGTTGAGCTCGCTTTGAGCCTTGTAAGTTTTGTTAAGGGGAGTTTGGTACAGAGAAAAAGAGAGGATAACGAATCTTTATTATCTGTAGTCACAGTTTTCTTATATTCATCTTGATTGAGCAATCCCAAGACACTTACGTCTTTATATGCAATGAGGGGGAGCAAAAAAAAAAAAAAAAAGTGGAATTTTTGTTCCTCCTGCTGAATTCCAATAAATTGCTTCGTGATAACTAATGATTGTGACATTAAATAAAATCGTTGGTCGAATTAGTGACTGTCTACAGATGGGAATAAAAGTTGGGAAGAAGGGGAAAAATTGATAAACGAGGACCAACGTTATTATAAAACAATTGATAGATGGTCTGACAGCGTTCTTAGCTAACGTACTTTTTTTAGATTCGAAGATATTCCTTCGCTTT